GCCTTCCTCAAGAGTGGGTGAAAATGTCCCGAAATAGCCCAAAATCCCTTTAAACCCACCCAAAATCCATCCAAACCCGCCCAAAATCCACCCAAATCTGCCCAGAATTCACCAAACCCACCCAGACCCACCCAAACCCAGCGGCTCCGAGGACCGCGCGCTCTACGACCTGGCTGCCTTCCTCAAGAGTGGGTGAAACGCCCCAAAAATGTCCTGAAATGGCCCAAAAATGTCCTGAAATAACCCCAAAACCCCGTTAAACCCAGCCAGAATCCACCCAGACCCGCCCAAAACCCACCCAGACCCACCTAAAATCCACCCAGAATTCACCGAAATCCCCCAGTTTCCCCCTGAAATCCCTCAAATTCACCCCTAAAGTTCCCCAATCTCCCCCCAGATCTGCCCCAAATCCCCCCGTTTCCCCCCAAATCCCCTAAATCCCCCTTTCCCCCGCAGCCATCGCGCTCAGCGGGGTGCAGGACGTGCGCGCGGTGCTGCAGAATTACTCGCACGAGGTCGATCCCCTGGCGGCGTTCCTGCGGCGCCGCTCCCGCCTCCAGGAGGTCTGGGGGCACCGGGGGGCACCTGAGAGACACCTGGGGATACCTGAGATACACCTGGGGGCACCTGGGGGTTACCTAGGGGGTCCCAGGGGGATATTTGGGGTTACCTGGGGGGCACCTGGGGGCACCTGGGACAGCTGGGGCACACCTAGGGGCACCTGGGATACACCTGGGGGGCACCTGGGTACACGTGGGATTTACCTGGGGGTTACCTGGGGGTCTCAGGGGTTACCTGGGGGGTCTCGGGGGGTCTCACCTGGAGCTGGGGGGGGTCTCACCTGGGGGTTACCTGGGCACACCTGGGGGGTCTCGGGGGGATATTTGGGGTTACCTGGGGGTACCTGGGGGGTCTCACCTGTGCTCACCTGCGATAGGAGGAGCAGCAGCGGAGGGCGGAGCTGGCGCAGGGCCGGAAGCCGCCGGGGGCGGGGCCGTTCCTGGGCTCCCTCACCGGGCGCCTCTGGCCGCGCTCCAAGCAGCAGTGACGTCACCGCGGCGTCGCCGTGACGTCATCGCCACCGCGGGACGGCGCCGTGGGGGGAGGGGGACCCCAAATCCCCCCTCCCCTCCCCCAACCCCGAGTTTTGGGGTCTCTAGGAAGGTTTTGGGATCTCAGGAGGTGATTTTGGGGTCTCTGGGGGGGATTTTGGGGGTCCTGAGGGGGATTCTGGGGGTCTTCAGGGGGATTTTGGGGGTCCCTGGGGGGGATTTTGGGGCTCTTTGGGTCAATTTGGGTCTGGGGTCTGCCAGGTCCGCCCCGCGGGGGGTCCTGGGGGGGATTTTGGGGTTCTTTGGGTTAATTTTGGGGGTCCCGGGGAGGAATTTTGGGGTCCCTGGGGGGGATTTTGGGGGTCCCGGGGTTAATTTTGGGTTAGTTTCGGGGGTCTCTGTGTTAATTTCGGGTCTGGGGTCCCGCGGGGGTCCTGAGGAGGATTTGGGGAGTCCTGGGTGGGATTTTGGGTTAATTTCGGGGGAATTTGGGTTAATTTTGGCGGGATTTGGGTAAATTTGGGGGGATTTCGGGGGGATTTTGGTTAATTTTGGTTAATTTGGGTCTGGGGTCCGCAGGGCCGCCCCGCGGGGGTCCTGGAGCTGCGGATCCTCTCCGTGCCCGGGGGTCCCGGGGTAAATTTGGGGTGTATTTGTGTTAATTTCGGTGTGGTTTTGGTTAATTTCGGGGGGATTTGTGTTAATTTTTGGGTGGGTTTTTGGGTTAATTTTGGGGGATTTTGGTTAATTCGGGTCTGGGGTCGGCAGGCTCGCCCCGCGGGGGTCCTGGAGCTGCAGGTGCTCTCCGTGCCCGGGGGTCGCGGGGGTCCGGGCGGGGGTCCCGGGGTGGATTTTGGGTTAATTTTGGGGGATTTTGGTTAATTTGGGTCTGGGGTCGGCAGGCTCGCCCCGCGGGGGTCCTGGAGCTGCAGGTGCTCTCCGTGCCCGGGGGTCGCGGGGGTCCGGGCGGGGGTCCCGGGGTGGATTTTGGGTTAATTTTGGGTCTCTTTGGGACAATTTCGGGGGGATTTTGGGTTAAATTTGGATTAATTTCGGGTTAATTTTTGTTAATTTGGGTCTGGGGTCCGCAGGGCCGCCCCGCGGGGGTCCTGGAGCTGCGGGTCCTCTCCGTGCCCGGGGGTCGCGGGGGTCCGGGCGGGGGTCCCGGGGTGGAATTTGGGTGTATTTGGGTTAATTTCGGTGTGATTTGTGTTAATTTTGAGTTAATTTTTCGGGATTTTGGTTAATTTGGGTCTGGGGTCCGCAGGGCCGCCCCGCGGGGGTCCTGGAGCTGCGGGTCCTCTCCGTGCCCGGGGGTCGCGGGGGTCCGGGCGGGGGTCCCGGGGTGGATTTTGGGTTAATTTCGGGTGGAATTTGGGTTAATTTCGGGGGGATTTTGGGTTAATTTTTGTTAATTTGGGTTAATTTGGGTCTGGGGTCCGCAGGCTCGCCCCGCGGGGGTCCTGGAGCCGCGGGTGCTCTCCATCCCGGGGGGTCCCGGGGTGATTTGGGTTAATTTTGGGTGTATTTGTGTTAATTTCGGGTGGATTTTGGGTTAATTTTAGGTAAATTTTTGTTAATTTTGGTTAATTTGGGTCTGGGGTCCGCAGGGCCGCCCCGCGGGGGTCCTGGAGCTCCGGATCCTGTCGGTGCTCGGGGGTCCCGGGGGGTCCTGGGTGGGATTTTGGGTCTCTTTGGGTCTCTTTGGGTTAATTTCGGTGGATTTTGGGTTAATTTGGGTTAATTTTGGTTAATTTGGGTCTGGGGTCCGCAGGGCCGCCCCGCGGGGGTCCTGGAGCTCCGGATCCTGTCGGTGCCCGGGGGTCCCGGGGGGTCCCGGGTGGGATTTTGGGTCTCTTTGGGTTAATTTTGGTTACTTTTGGTTAATTTGGGTTAATTTGGGTCTGGGGTCCGCAGGGCCGCCGCGGGGGTCTTGGAGCTCCGGATCCTCTCCGTCCCGGGGGGTCCCGGGGTGATTTGGGTTCATTTTGGGGGTCCCGGGTGGGATTTTGTGTTAATTTTGGGTTAATTTCGGTGGATTTTGGGTTAATTTTGGTTAATTTGGGTTAATTTTGGTTAATTTGGGTCTGGGGTCCGCAGGGCCTGCTGCAGTTCCGCCTCTGCCTGCGGCCCCGCGGGGGGAGGGGCTGCGCGCTGGGGGTCGCGCGGAGCCCCCCCGGGCCCCCCCCCGCGCCCGGAGCCCCCCGGC